TCATTCATGCGAGAAAGTAAGAACCATCCCAGCGCAAAAACAACCACCAAACACGTCCAATCACCATTTAATAGGCAATAAATATTTTGGTGCAAAAAAGTTTGAGGAAAGATAGGATGACTGAGGCAGGCAAACGAAATAATTTTTTAAAAGAAAACAATGATTAATACAGCAAAATATTTATTGTCTATTAAAAACGTACAACTGTAAAAACACACTTTTGACAAAATATTTCTCTTACACCTAATTTGTTTGATATCTTAAAATTTTGAGTGCAAACAATTTTAAAACGATTTTCACCACAAGAAATTCAAGCAGGCATTTTTTTCCATAACTCCAATAGTAAAAGTATCTCTCAAAGAATTTTTAAATTGCTCGTTTTAGCCGAATTTACTTCATAAAATAAAGCCATAAGTTCAGGAAATTTGTATGAAAGTTAAAATAAAAACCTTTGAGCATTAAAATGTTTGGCAATAAACTAAATGTAAACTATCCGAAATACCGGTTGACGGGAGTAAAAAAAAATAAAAGCAAATTTCGTATTAGTTCAACTTATGGTTTAACGTATTCATTGGGAGCCTTACCAGAAGAGACAACAGAAGTATCAGATGCCATCCCAAGGTAAACGACAGCAAGAACGATAAAAAACAAGGCAACCACTGCAAGCACAGCATATGACACAAAATTACTTTTTCTATCGGAGCCATCTCTTCTTGCTTTTAAATCGTATATAGATTCACGCCCCCGAGTGGTTCTGCAAATAACGCAAAAGCAGTTAGAAATGTTGGAAATTCATAGTTAGTTAATCCAAACTACTTACTTTGATACATAAGGTCTTCTAGTGTAAGGAGTGAATCCATTACTGTCGTGCTCCTTAACCAAATCATTCTTATCGTGCTCCGCTTTTTTTGCGGCACTTAAAGCCGACAATCGCCTGGTGAAGTTACTTAAAAACGGTGTATCGTGTTCAGTTAATGTTACATTGGAACTGGCCGGGATCGGATTGTAAGACGAAGGCTTTTCATGAGCTAAAATCGAAATACCATAAAGGGTCATCAATCAATCGAAATATGGAAATTCAAATATTGAATACCTGGATTTCCCAGGCTGAGTCTCGCTCGAACTTGATTTAGCTTGTCAGTGCCATAAGTAGCAGATCCAGAACCAGTCCCGCCAATTTCACTAAAAGTTGATGTGTATCTACTTGGAGATGGAGGGGCATAGAAGTTCGAATCTCTGGTGCTGGAATAACCAAAATCATCGCTCTTCGGTGAAGTATATCTGAAAGACAATTTCACATTTGAATAATATAGAAATTGCCTACTTTTCTTCTGCTTTTCTACCTTGAAGATGATGTTGAGAGTGGCGACTTCAAGGCCGAGCTTCTGCTATTTAATCCAACATCACCATAGGAATCGTCATTATTAGAGCCTGAATCAGGTTTTGATTTACTTGAGGCGAGAATATCAGATTCAGAATCCGACCCTGTATCAAAGTCGTCTTTTACAGCTTGCATAATTCTGGATGATCTTGTTGTAGTGGAAGTGGTAGTGCGAATTTGTTTCTTAGGACTGCGCAACACGGGCTATAATAAAAAATATATTCGTACTATAAACTGCAGTAAAAAAGCAGAAACATACTTGCCTCTACTACGGATTTTCTAGTGACCATGCCAGTACTAGATACTGGAGCTGCCATCGTAGCTCTGCGGTTCTTTTGATTTTTTGTAGTTTTAACATCAGCATCACTGTCCTCTTCACTGGAATATCTGCCTAGGGACCTGAAACAACATTTTCAACAGATTCAATTAAGTCAACTCACATACTATGAAAACCAAAGCTACCTTCTCCCATCACTAGAACCAACTTTGTTCTGATTCTCCAGAAGGAGCTTCAATTTCCTGACCATTACTTTTCTGGTAGTTCCTGTGATGGGCATCACAGGGAAACCAAATTCTATTAATTTGGTGCGGAGCTCCCCGTCTGATAGTTTATCTACATCGACCATCTGAAAAAGAGGGAAATATTGAGATAAAAGCAAACGATTACCGCTGCTAGGATTTTTTTCGGTTTAGTTGTCGTTCAAGAAAATTTAACTTAAGTGGAAAGTATTAGTAAAACAAACATAATATAAATTGGTTTGAAGAAATGGAAACTTGAGATCTAAATCTAGTGAAGTTGAATCAATTGATCACAGATTCATTAATGAGACACAAACATTTAGTGATAAATTAAAATTAACCTAACGGTAGGGTAAAATAGAGCATAACAAACAACAAAAACAAACAGAAAACAAGAACCTGTCCTTCCTCTTCTCCCCAATAGGAAATATTCAGGGAAAAAAAGTTTCTGCTCACAAACATAACAAACTCAATTAAAAACAGATGAATCAGTTACTATATGAAGACATCATGTTTGTCATGCTGTATTTTACCCTACCGTTAGGTTTATTTTAATTTTAATGTATGACTAAACGTTTGTGTCTCATTGACGACTCTGTGGTCAATTGATTCAACTTCACTAGATTCAGAGCTGAAACTCCTCTGTTTTCCATTTTAGAGCCCTGCAGATGGCTAAATATAGTCGAAAAGTTTGGCCCTTGAGAATGAAAGTGTTTCACTTGTTGCCGTCTATTGACCGATAAACCCACAGACCTCATTTACTAATATTATTTAAGTTTTACACACTGGATAAAACTCAGTTTATAAATCATCAAACAAGTTTTTTATAATGAAGTGTATATGTAATATATTACATACACAATTCATTATCAAAAAAGGGTTTGTTTCGCATTACAAAAAACTTGTATGTAATATATTACATACACCCTTCATTACAACAAACTTGTTTCATTAATCCAATAAGTCCAATAAAAAAACAAAAATGTCAATCGGTGCGTTGAAAGAATTGTTAGTTCACTATGTATTAATAACTGAGTTTGTCCTCTTATTTGGTTAATGTCCGAGGCGATTAAAATTCTATAAGCCCAATAAAAACACAAAACTGTCTACACCTTAAATTGAATTTGGTTTTTTTGTACTTTTGTTATACCTAGTATGTAAATCATAAGTACTAAGTACATGAAAATATATTCGAGTTGGATAGGGGCCGTTAGCTGGAGCTTATTAGACAATGAAAATGTACTTTCCAATAATTAAAATTGTTGTATTCTGAAAACTTATATGTGGGGCGCAAAATGTAGTGTTTGAGGCAAATAAGTTCCAAAACTCCATGAAGTGGGGACGTTGTTAAAGAACGAGAAACTATACATTTTCAATAGCAGATTAGAAAACATTTAACGCACTCATAAAAGCAATACTTAATACTATCTCTGAGAAGAATGGATAAACACACTGTACAAGAGTTCCCCATGAAACCATTAGCGTCTGGTTTCTGATAGTATTGTTGTTTGGATATCGCTAATGAACTTTGAATGCCTGTAATATTTGAAGAAACAACCAGTTTTTAATCAATCTAACTGAAGAAAATTAGACCAGCTTTTTGTGCCCTCTTGGCAGTTGAGCCTGTTTTAAAATTACCATTAAAGCTCAACAGTAGTGAATACATCACCGAGCCAAACGGTGCTTATTGCTCGAAAATCTTAACAATTTTTTGGAGGCCAAGGACTTTGAGTGCATGTGGACTGATACTTCGAAGTCATACTTTTAACTGAGTTTGTTTCAATCCAGCGGAAACTGACTAGTTAAAGATCTAGTAGGGGACGCTTTGAGAAATCAGATTATGCAGCTCTTAAGACTCTTACTTATCCTAGACAATATTAATTTATTAAAACCGACCACCTAACCTCAATACGCATACTGCTCATAGACAAAGTTTATTAGATAATTATTGCGGCTTCCTTACCTTGATCAGCTCAATGCACCCGGTTATAAAGAACTGATTTTTAAAGCGTAGGGCAACTGATGTTAAATTCACATAGACTATGTAGAAAAACAGGCGGCAAACCACGACCTTGGGGTAAAAATATTCAACTGCTTCTGGCGACTACACAAAACCGAAATCGATCGCCTTTTACTAGTCGGTTTATTTGGGAAACTCACGTCAATTTACCGTAAAAATTCACTTATAATTCAATTTTTTTTTAACAACACACGCCAAGCTTTGACATGCAATGTTCTACCATAAATAATAATGACGGCTTGCTCAAGATGGCGGCTTACGCAGCCGCGTTTGAACTGACTTTTTTAGCTGATCGAACGCAATTGGTCAGTTCCAACGGATAAGCCTGTGAGCGACCAATGAAAACCCTGATATACTTTGATAGGGATTAACAGCCAGATTTCAAACAATTTATTAATTTAGCAGACAAAACGGAAGTTTACTGAAGAATGTGGAGTAGTGCATAAATACGCCCAGATTTAAAGTTATATTAAAAAATTTCTTGCAAAATATTGCACCTAATGAATCACTTTATGGCGTCATCTCCCGATTTTCATTATCAAGGTCACATGCTATGACGATTTATCAATTTAAATGAAACTACTACAAAAACATATTTTTAACGATGAGGAATTTATTAGATTTATATTCACAGTTAATTTAAATAAAATCCATACAGACAGCCAGAATAGTACTGTTGATTTCAAGCGTAAATTAGACTAAAACTACTTACAACTTTCCGATATTTTACTAAAAAAATATAAAAAGCCCTGAATTGTTTCCAGACAATTCATTCGGCAATTAAACAAAACATATTTAATAGAACTTCTTACGAAATTCAATCTACAATATTACCAAACATAAAAACTGTGTATACAATAAATACCTATTATCTAATGTGTCTCATTGTCATATCCTTGTGCTATTCCATTTCGGCCCTTCTCTGCCAGTTTCACATCTGTTGCTCCCAAATTCTGCTCCAATCCTTTCCAAAATCGGTCGCTAAGATATCCAGCTCCAAAGTAGACCGATAACGATCCGTTGCCCTTCACAGCAACTTGAGAATCGCTCGAACTTTCCTCAATATTCTCATTAGCGGGAGCATTTGACCTCAACTTGCCAGTCAAAAGGCTCACATCAGTTTCATTCTCGTTCTTTGCCAAACCAAGTTTCTCGTCCAGGTTGTTCAAGTAACTGTTATAGTCGTAGGTAAAGTGTATCCTTGCATTGCTATTCAGAGCCACTTCCACATCATACGGTGTAACTATCGGCTTGTAAAAGTCTCGACTGTCGTATATCTCATTCATGGCACAAGTAATCATCACATAAATATCAATCTGAAAATACGCCATTTATTGCAAACCCTTTCAAATTAAAACTATTGTCTACCTCGCCCAAATTTGCCAGCTTGGCCACTGTGGGTTTACCAACGCTTATGAGATAATACTTTTTGCCATAAGCAATCGCAAGGTTTTTCACTCTTTCAATGATCTTCAGGTAATTCTTAACGCCAAGAGTTCCTATCACTATGCCTATTGTGCGAGCGTCTCTGATTTTTTCCATCAAAAAATATCTTCTTTTCAGGATTTTCTGATCTTCTTGGAACAGAGTTAGCTCCGAAGGCGGTTTAGATGGATCGTACAAGTACAAAGTTTTCGCTGTAAAAATGACCACTTTTAAATTAATATATTCTGCCCAATCAAAGATGGTTATCACAACTTGATTCAAAAGCATTCGATTACATTTAAAAATTACAACACAGCAAAAAATTGATTCTTCCTTCGAACTTTGCAAATGTTCGAAATTTCCTATAAAACCTAATTAGAAAAACATAGTTCTAGAGACGCTTGTTCAAAAAAAGTTCGACACTCATTTCTACAGGTTTACAAGTTAAAAAAAGTTCTGATAAAATCTAATTAAGAACAGACCTAAAAGCACTAATTGAAAACCTCCTAATAATTAATCAGATACTTCAATCAAGATCAAATCCTCTGAACCAACTGTCAAAAATCTATAGCAGCTTCTTTCCAATAAACCATTCTCTGTCCACATATATATACTTACGTTTGAAGCCTAAACCAATATTCATTAATTTCCTTTGATTCTCACTAATAAATACCACATTCTTGTTGGCTACATCCAAAGTGTCTTCAACTATTTTATGAACAGCTGCATTCTTAACCCTTTGCCTAAGTGCATCTACAAAAAAAGTCAAACTATTAATTCTCAAAAACAAATTCACTCAAATGGAACAGTCGTACCAAAATAATGAATATATGCATCATCAAGAACAATGACTAGATCTTTGCCTTCTACACTGTTAACAATCTGAGATATCTCCGCCTCCAAATGCTCGACTTGCAAGGGATGTTTCTCGTAGATGTTTAAATAGGGAACATCGCCTGATGTTTTGGAAAAACATGTGGGGCCAAAGTGAATGATCGCATCAGCATCCACGTGTGCAGCAGCAACATAATCTATGCAACAACTGATATAAATGTAAATATCAAGCAATCTAAAACTTACAAACAGGTACCTTTCGTACGATGTATCACCTAAAACGTATACAGACTGAGCCAAAATTCCTTGCAGCTTTAAAGCCACATCCGTGGAATCTGGCAGAAGATGGTCAGGAAATTGCAAGCAAACCTGAAAAGCAAAAGGGCTTTATAACTAAACTAACTTGAAATATACTCAATACAATGCTGGAAAGACACTAGTAGTGGGAATTATAAGGCTATTCTTCTAAACATACCTTTTGGAAGGAGTTTTTCGTGATCCATTCCGCACACTTTTGCACTTCATATAACCCATCAATTACCTTAGGATTTGTGACAACTAATGGCTTTTTAGATTCCACATCTTTTTCCAGACTCACCAACTCGTGTGTTGAAAACTGAGGCATGTTTTTAGTTAAAATGTTTGGATTGTTGCGTTATTGTTTACAAATTTACTAAGATCCTACGTGACTAGAAAACGTGGTTAGGTTTTCAATTAATAACTTCGATATTCCTTGGTTATGGCCAAGCTCTATGAAAACTAGCTCATGAATTTGCTCACTCCCGCTCATGAAAATCAAAAGAAAAACATAGTCGTTTGCTGCACCCACCAGGGAAAAACACGTACCATATGATTGTCAAACGTTCATTGATGGACGTCATTTTAAAGCCTATTTATTGATATTAAATTGGTAATAAAAACATTTGTAAATAAATTGATAAAACTCTATTCGGTAGCATGCTTTAATAATTAATTCCCCTCAATTCGCTTTGAAGCCATGGCAAATAAAATGGACGAGTTTAAACAGAAAATTATGGGGTTCATCCATAAACAGGTTAGTTCTATATGTTGCAGATATTGAAATTCACAGTTAATTTAATAAGACTTCTCACTTACTTATTTTCCACATTTGTAAATATTAAAAAAAAAAAATTTCAATAAAAAAGAAGCGTTTCCTTCCAAGACAGTATTTTACAAGAGGCAATCATCCAACAAGTTTTTTTTTACAGCCTCCCAAAATCCCTTCAATGGGATTCGATGATTCAAACTATCATTTCCCTCAAATGCCCACGTTGTCTATCAACAGTAAAACTGCTCAAGATAGCGATAGACCGGCAGATCAAGATATTTTAGAAAGCATCGAAGCAGCTTATTTTTCCATGAATCCAGATTTCGACATATGTAGATTTGAGCTAGCTGTAAGTGTGAGCCACGCACAATTTTTAGAAAAGTTGGTAAGTGAATATTCATTTGTAGAAGCTGCCAGAGACGCTGGAATGCGACCAGATTCAAAGGGACTTCAAGAATTTGAAACAGCAACATTCAGTCGTATCTAAAAAAGTGCTTCAGCTTATCTTGGAGCATCAAAGTGCTTGCAATAATGAATTTAAAACCATTCAAGACATTCTGCAAGAAGTTAAAGCCACTTTAGATCAATGCAAGGAGAGCAGAAAGCAGCTGGCTATTTGTGGGAAGCAGTTTTCATCCAGTTTAGGAATTTTGGCAAACTACAGAAAGAGGAAACTCGCTCAAAGGCTGCTGGGAAATTTAAATATGATTAAGAATTTGGTAAGAATGCATGTCATGGAATGAAACGGTAAGTAAAATTGTACGTTCCAGCATAGCTTTGACAAAAGATGCCAAGAATTACTCCATGACGAGGATTATGCTGGAGCTATAACGGAACTAAAAAGATGTCAGAAAATTGCCATAAAATACCGGCATTTCAGTTGCGTGGCAGCCCTGACTTATAAGTTACAAGAGACTTTGGAGAACACAGACACGCAATTTGATCGAATTTTAGCTCAAGTAATGTTCGAGCATTTGTAAGTCTCACATTTAGTTAACAGTACTTTCATTGTCCTTAGATGTGTTACCATTTTGATGGCGAAAGATACTTCAAGCTGCAAGCAGCCTACGACTTACTTGAGAAGTCTCATGTAGCAATGATTGACAATATACATGTGCATTATATAACTGCAATTTACAACTCGTCTTTTAACATTGTTAATTCGTATGTTTCTTCTGGGGATGTTTTGGACTCTGGCGACAACACTGGAAAGAATCCCTATAAAACGCTCTGCCAAGTAAGCGTGGCATATTTTTAGCTTCTTATTACTATAAAAAAAAAACTTTGCAGGCTGTGCCTCAAGACTATTTTATTTCATGTCTAGTGCAACTGTGTAAGGTTCTTTTCAAAATAGTTCTAAGTTATCATCAGTTAATCAGATGGTACAACAACCAAGAAGAAGGCACAAGTCAGAATTGTTTGGGTAGCTATTCCGTCCCCTGTGAATTAATTGAGGCAAAACCAGAATATCTCTTTAGGTGTGGAGCTAAATATGAGCAAGCAGAAACTGGATCACAATGTTGTGAAAATATGGGACGATGTGCAAAGAAAAGTGTCCAGTTTGCTGTTAAATGCTGATTTAGCAGCATACAAATTCGACCAGTTTGTGCAAGTTTTGCGTGTGGTTCATAGGTGAGTTTCGTAGCTTTACTACCTGAAACGCAATCAACTCATTGACTTTTAGATTAATTCAAGTAGGAGAAGAGTTTTGCTCAAGTAAATCTGAGGACTTGAGCGAATCAATACGAAAGCAGAGTATTTGCTATTTTAAGAATTACCATGCTCAACGGCTGGATGAATTGAAAATATTTATGGAGAATGAAATGTGGGAGATTTGTCCTGTTAAACCCACTTTCAATGTGGTGCAGCTGCAGGTGGAGTATATTTTACACACGCACTATGAATATTTCTCAAGTGTAGCTACTTTAGGAGTTCAGATCGGTAAGATCTGCGTTGAAAAATTACAAAAACCCCAGTCAGATCAGCCCCACAATGCCAGTGTACTCAACAAATTCTGCTGATTGTTCTTCATGCCATTCTCAAGATGGAAGCAGTATTACCGGTGAAAATTCATAACAATTACACACTGATTGTTACTAAATTGTCAACTAAAAAAATTGCAGGCAACTACTTCATCAGGTATGCAGACCATGGCACCCCCTTTGATACAGGCTTAGATGACACGGTAATCGATGAGGATATTTTGGCTGTTGATAATGAGGGATCAGGGTATTTCTCAGATGATAGTGAGGAAGAATCAGAAGAGCTCAAAAAGGATTTTGTGGATGAGGACAACATAGAGTAAGCAAGTCGAGAATACTTAAATGGAATTTATATGGGAATGTGTGTGGATGTTTTAGAGCTAATGCAGCAAATATACCCGAAGGCAAACATTCGCACCACAAAAATGCCCCAATTTTGACCAACACCACTTTATCGGTGTTAAGACAAATGGGCAAATACCTGCAAATGTCTAGGCTACTCAAACCGATTTCCTATCAGGTTATTAGCTGCATGAACGAGCTATTTGACTTCTATTTATATTGTGTTCATCTATTTTTTGCCTATGATTTGGTGAGTACTAAACAATCAAAAGATGTTAACAAAATTTGTTAAAATATAATGTTCTTTCAGACGGTTTCAAGCAGTAATCTTTACACTGAAACGCTCTCAACGACGCTCAGGAAAATTAGTGATAATCTCATTTTTGAACCGTCTTCGCAAGGGACCGAATTATCTTTTCCGGAAGGGCGGGTTCATAAACCTTGCATATCGCTAATGGTGGATCTGAAAACACCAGAGAACCTACATGGTTTATCGGAAAGAATAGTCGCTGTTGAAAGTCTGATTTTCCTCTCAAAACAGTACGAGTTTTTGCAGGAATATTTGGAGTATTTGGTGCCTCAAACAAACAGGATTATGCTGCAACAGTTCTTTACACAAGTAAGTGCATTTTCGTTTATTTTTACACATGTCTAGCTATTCAATTTTACTGCTGATAAAATGTAACCTCCACTGTTCATGTTCACTTCTGGATGGGTCCTTTCGGGTAAAACCTGATAGTTCCTTAGAAAGTTATTGCTTAGTTTAATGCCTACAATATCTAACCGGCTCTTCAAGTAAACGAACAGATCCTCTAGAGGTTCGCGCATTGCATTGAATACTACTAGTTGGCGTGCTCCTTTGAGAAACCACAGCAGTTCTTTCACTATATTAACTGGGTGTTCTTTAGAAGTAACTATTAGAGTATCACATTTGGTTCGCAATATTTTGCAGGCTCTTTGATTGTCAATTTTCCACTGTGGTGGTTTAGGGGCTTCCGCAGAATCTTCGTTCATTTTTTGCTTCTTTGAAGGAGTTTCTTCCATATTAGGGTCTTCCGACTCTTTGGTTTGGTAAAAATCTCTTAAAACTGAATACAAATTCACATTGATGCATCTATTCCGTTGTTCTTCCGGAAACTGCATCGCTACAAAGGCATTTTTCTGGCACTCGTTGCCTGGATGCATATGGATTAAACTGGCTTCCGTGTTTGCCCCAATAGAGTTCATTATAGCAGCAACCATAAGTCCTGAAGTGCCACTATCGTAGAGAAGGTGATTGCCATCTGAATGTATGTTGGCATAAGCTAAAATCTGAGACAAATCGTCTATTCTAATCCCCAGAGTTTTAGAAGGATCTTGTCTGTAAAACATGTTGGCCAAAAGCCGAACCGTAGGCCTTCGAATCTGTATGTATTCAAAGTACTTTTTCTCCTTTTTCTTGATATATTTCTCCTGCGAATAGCCAGTTTTCATATTGAAGGTTTTAGAATTGCTTACCAGCTCGCCGATAATCGCATTTGAGTTCAACTCAGAGTCCTGCAGCTTGTCAATATCATCTTTAGTTAGCATCTGCGAATCCCCATCAATCACAATATTCCTATTGTCTTGGCCGCTTGTTTCAATATTTAAAGCTCCTACGCTGCAGCTACTGTCCTCAACTTTTTCCAAAATAAATAGTTTCTTGTTATTGGAACTGTTTTTCATTTGAAAAGTGTCCAAGTATCTGTGCCCGATCACATTATCCATTTGAACGGTAAATTTCCCAATAATTAAAGACCCATTTTTCTTAAGCTTGTGCAACTTGGTGTAGCCCTGTCTTTGCACAATCACCTGATCGCCCACTTGGATTAATTGCTCATTTTCGTGCATTTTTAACAGCAAAATCGCTATTGTTTATTGACTAAACAGCGTGTTTTGTTTTTAAAATAGGGTTAGAATGTTTGAATGGTTTGACAGATGATTTAGACAGGGCTGTAATCAGCTACGAGTGTTTTTTTATATTGATAAATAATTTGCGGTTTACGGTTTAAATGTGAAAGTTTTTGGTTGATTTGAAATATTTGGCAATTTTTCAGTTGTCTTAGTTGCTGATGTAGTAATAGGGCGTGGCAATTTTAAACAATTAAGTCGGGCTTTGGTTTGCAAAGAGCCTCAGAATGAGTATTTATATTTTTTGTAGTTAGAAAAGGCATTTCTATGGATAAAAGATCGTCAACGCACTTTCACGGTGTTGGAGCGCAATTAAGAATAAATTAATTTACAGCATTTTCGGAAATGTTCAGTTAATTAAAAGCTATTTATTCATTAACATTATATGTAAAGTCAATTTTTACGTTTTGTTCGCACATTTTTTCTTCTGGATCTAGTAAAATCTTTGGTGGTTTTCTACTGATCGTTTCTACTGATCTGAAATTTATTGTGAACGAAAGTTTTCGAGCACTTTCACTCATTGAAATTCACTACTTTTCTATAAGATAACAAGAAACACCACTATCTTATAAGATTTGTCGTTTGTAAACGTATCTGTCATCTATAAGATGGCCATTTTGTTAGTTGGACCGCCTGGGCTTGATACACTCGGAAATATTCGAAATTTCTCTTATAGTAATAGTTTGGAGCTGCAGGAGAGTTTTTTAGAAAATCGTTTAAATCTAGAATCACTTCTTAGCTTAAAATAAGCTCATTATTCTAGATGTTTTGATTCTGCTTGAAAACTGTCCTGAACGGAAGAATCGAATACAATGTCTAATTTTACCATCCTGTATTTCAAAAACGCAAATTTGCCAGTCTATTATAGAACAACCTGTACAGGGTGGTCCAGTTTTCAGAACTTCAGAGGAAGGAAAGAGAATATGAGTTTGCATTATAAACACTTTATGTATAATTACCAATAAATATCTCTATCTATCTATAAGTTTGAGACAAACGCTTGTTTTGCAGAGTATTTCCAGTTGCTCGGATTTAAGAAGACCTGTTTATATGGCAGTGGTTGCGCAAGCATTCGATTTGAGGCAGATTTTAATTTCTATGTCGAAAATCAATTGGGAAGTTAAGGAAGTAATGTCGCAACATAATGCATACATCGATATGATTTTACGAGTAAGTTTCCGCCCGTACGATTTCGCCAAACCCCTTTTCATTCTCGGATGTTTTAGGAGGTGCAGATATTTAGGCTGCGACTTGAAGATGTCGCTCATAAAGTATCGATTTCTCTAGAAGTGTACAAACTCCTATGGGAAAACATAGCCCACATTGTTACTCACACTTTGGTACAAGGGTGAGAAGATTTAATTGTTTGATTGATTAAAAGCTCTTGATTGGTTAATTAATTTCAGATTTTCTGATGCCAAAAAGTGTTCAAATGGCGGTCGAGCTTTGATGCAGCTGGACTTTACACAGTTTTTATCAAAATTCGAAAAAATCTCATCACTGCGACCTGTGCCGCATAAGGAATATGTGGAGAATTACGTTAAAGCATTTTATCTGCCCGAAATTGAACTTGAAAAATGGATCAGAGAACACAAGGTGAGATAGAACCATTTCGGAGAGCTTGCGGAATTGAAAATTGTGCTTTTTAGGAATATTCATCTAAACATTTATTCGGCCTAGTCAGTTGTGCTTGCCAGAATAATAAAAAATCTCGTCAGAGGTTGCTTCAAGTGATAGAGGAGAGCGAGAGAAGTCCTCTGAGTAGGTAGCCCAAAAATAGCATTTTTAACAGCAACTTAATTCAGTGAGTTAGAGCTTTTTAAATTTTTAATGTAATCTCAAAGATTGTGTGATATTCTGTACTACATTAGATTAATTTTTTGTACCGGCGAATTTTAAAGATACAATTTAGACGAATGAATGTCTCAAGATACTTTACTACTTATAAAATAGGCCAACAAATGCACTTATTTGATGAGAAACTGTTGGTTGATGGGTATTTGAAAAGCAAAACTTTAACAGTTGTTCAATTTATTTCAAATATGTACTCTTTAACAAACCATTTGGAATTAGGATGTCTTAAAACTTAAAGCAAAGTACGTGGATAAATTATCATATAAGGATTTGAGTATAAATAAAGGCCACTTTCACTTTAAATCATTAACGTAGTTAATCACACTTATTTGACTAAGTGCAATGTATATTCTTAAGTTTGTGTTTGATACAACTTAGCGGTTGTTGATATTTTAACATTAAATATTTTTAAATTATTTTGCTTAAATAGGTTTTGTCGACGTAACTCATACCCTTTGTACATTATTTCACATTTCTTCGTATACTAGATTACTGTTGTTTCAAATAAATGTAACATAGATTGTTTTTTTGTCTAAATGTTGGGCTAGGAAATGTGTAAAAATGCTGTGCAAAAGAAGGCAAAAAACAGCATTAAAATAGCAATCGGAATATTGTAATGTTTTTAACCTACCATGTTGCAAATCTGAGCAGTTCCTACTTAGAGTTCATAAAGCGTCCAATTTAGAGTGTAATTTACAGCAGAAGAACACTAATAATTGAAGGTGTGTTTGCAGCAAAACACCCCTATGTTACATAATAAAGCAG